AGGTCCGTATTTAATCAAATCGGAGAACGGGAGAAATAAACAGTGGTAATAAATTTCAGCGGCTTGTACAAATACGTGGATTATGAAAACTAAAATCATCAGTATTTTTGAAAATTTTCTGTTAATTATCACGACTGAAAGAAAGTGACTTATCCGCATTGGGTCAGCTGAAAATTTAGTTAAATTAACTGTTTTTTGAGCCGAAATTTACTTTCGAAAGGTCTTAGTGAAAAATCCATTATCAAGGCTGACACACTTCTGTTAATTTTTCCATATTTTCAGGATCACCTTAATGTGTCATTTTAATTATTAATTATAATTGTTTTTGGTCAAAGCTCATTATTATTTTGCTTTCAAGCTTTCAATAATTATTCTATTTAATCATTTTTGTTTCGAATACCATTAGTAACATAGTTAAACAATTTAAAAGTAAGTTTTTATATGATGAAAATTCGAAATTTGTAACAATTTTTTAATACAAAACTCCTTTGCACTGGATTAGGAAACACAGAAACGAATACACCATTTTCACAATCTGAAACTCAAATGAGCAAAAATTTAAAAAATGCGAATTTTAACCTTTAGACCCAATTGATAGTTGATGACAAGATTTTCAGAAAACCTGAGCTGAAACGGAGTTTTCGAAATAATTGTTATAATAGCAGCAAATTGCAAATTTTCGCGGTTTAAACTACACCATCTGATGGCTTCATTTAACACAAACAAAAGGTCCAGCTGAAAAAAAAATACAAGTTTGGTCTTTTTTTTCAAATTGAAAGTCACATCAACATCAGATTCGATACTTTGTCCTGTAAAAATAATTGCAGAAAATGTCATTACTGAAATGAGAACTAAGGTGCAAATCCGAGCATATCTTCCTTCCAGAGTCCCTTCAAACTGTATTTCCAATTAAAAAAGTCAGAAATCAAAAATGTGACTTACAGTAAAACAGAAAAAAAAAGTGTTGACAAAAAATAAAACTCCAATGATCGCAAATAAGGGTATCCATTTTTCCATCGTTTGCAATGCGAAATTTGAAACCCTACAACCGCAAATTATTTATGTTTGCTAAGTTGGTACTCACATTCTTATATGTATGTGACGTTTGATACAAAATTTAAATCTTTGTTTGACTTCAGTTTGGTAAAATCTGCTTTGGAGTAAAATACTCTCATCTAAATCACCATCAAGGACATTATTGGTAATATTTTTTGCAATTACTATTAATAAATAAGATTGAAATTTGAGTTGAAGGGCAGTGTAGAGTAACTGATGGGCACAAGTGACCATCGTGTAACCCACAATTAAGAAAGTCGCCCTGTATATACCATTCAAAATGGCGGAATATCTCGGAAAAGCTCTCTCAAAGAAATAGAAGGCGAAAAAAACATCCTCGTCGTCTTTTACTGGAATCATAAATAAAATAATAGCAATTGTTGTTAAAATTAGGTTAAAAATGACGAAAATGTTGCAATAGTGTGACTCTTTTTTGATTTTTAAAAATATTGATTTATTGAAATTGTCAAAAGCCCATCTGTCACATTTTGAAAATATTCTAGGCACCTTATCGCCTCCAACAAGCAAAAACAATGTGCTTAGAACTGCCTGAAATTAGCCACAATTACTACAAAATTCAATAAATTGTTGAAAATTACGTAAAATATTGAGAAAAAAACAGGTCCGTATTTAATCAAATCGGAGAACGGGAGAAATAAACAGTGGTAATAAATTTCAGCGGCTTGTACAAATACGTGGAT